TGGATTTAAATGGGTAGACGGATTTGACGGACGAAAAAAAAATATTTAGTGGATTTACGTTAAATTCGGACGTAAATTCAACTTAAATTAGGCTACCAAACACCTCCTAAATCTTGTGAATTAGCAGATTTAGTAAATTTAGGACGAACTAGGAGGAAGAAGGGCGAGAACAGGCTTAGCTTCCTTAACGGTTTCTGGTAGGGGTGGAGCGGAAGGATGAAAAAGATGAAAATTTCAGGGTCTCTGTAAGTCGCGATCCCGTCGTTGCCTTCCCAACTAGCTATGATCACGATTGTACGAATTAAACAGGATTTAATCTAAATACTGCCAAACATTAAATGACAACATTAAATTCCGTAGAATCCGAAATACCATTTCTCATCCTTCCAAACGACAAAAAATGCCTCTGTATATCCTGAGCACACCCTAAATCCCAAAATGACGCCGATTCTTGATAAATCCGGGATTCACTAAATCCTGTGAATATGAGGATTTAGTAAATCCGCGACAAGCGAAGAGGAAGAATGGCGTGAAGAGGCTTACCTTTGTCAATGGTTTCAGGTAGGAGAGGAATGAAAGAACAATGGTTTCAGGTAGGAGAGGAATGAAATGTCAATGGTTTCAGGTAGGAGAGGAATGAAAGAACAATGGTTTCAGGTAGGAGAGGAATGAAAGAATGAGAAAGATGCAGAGTTTCTGTATTCTCTGTAAGTCGCGATCCCTTCGATGCCTTCCCAGCTAGCTCTAATGGCAATTGCATCGAGAGGGAGAGGGACATGAGCGAGCATATGGGAGGGGAAGATTGTAGGCAAAGCTCCCGACAAAGTGGGAGAGAGCGCGATGAGTTTGGTTGTTTTAATTTATTTTTATTCAAGTTAATTTTATAAATTTAACTGATAATAATTAGTAAGTAATAATTAATAATTAATTTATATATTATAAAATGAATTATAATTAGATAAATTTAAATGTAATTTTTTAATTGTTAATTAATGAATAAATGTATATTTTAAATTTTAAACTATTTAATGAAATTCTAAGTAAACTTTAATCTATATAATTAATAATTATTTATTGTTAAATTATTGCTAAATAAGTAATTAGTTCTGAACAATTTATTATTTGTTAATTAAATTAATTAATTTAAATTCACATTTTGTATGCACTTTGAGATTTTAGATGCTCGTTTATAATTTTTATTATTTAATATCGAAAGTTTACTCTGTGGTAAACCTTTCCAAAGCTTTCAAACAGTTTCTTAGGATTTATTATGATTTACTTACTAAGATGTCAAACAATTTTTAGATTTATCCCCTCAGAATTTGATAAATTCAAATTCACAAGTTTTGCTAAATTATATTTAAATGAAATCCTAATTGCAACCAAACAACCCCTTAAAGTACTAGATTTAGTGAATCTCATTGGTAGGCGAAGCTACATGATTTAATAAAGCCAAACAAGCTATCATCTAAGTCCTTGCCAACCAGATTTCCATGCCAGACTGGATCACGACCAGGCATTGGGAATTCCTTCATTACAAAGGGACAGAGAGAGTTCACATCGTAGTAGTATAAGTCCTCGCCATATGGATTGTATGTATATATATGACCACCATAGTATCCCCGCCTTATAAAGGAGTCTTCATTCTTATTTGGGATGTGGATAGGGCCAGTAGCGCCCTGAGAATCTCAGCCCTGTGAAGCGCCAGTAGTTGTAGCTGTGGGTAGGGCTTTCGTTCAACTCGCTCCGGGTTCCGATCTATATGACCTCCGGGCGGTACAAAGTACACCTCTTCCGTAGTGGAAGGTAGTAACCTAACCTTTCAGATTCGGGGGAGCCGAGCCCTTAACTCTATCAATGGAAAGATCTCCGTGCGTGGCATGAGTTGGAATCCTAGAAAAGATCAATTGAGACTCCCTCACCGGTCCCACGAAGATCTCTACGTACTTGTCCAGTCTAGGACAACTGAGATCTTCCGGTCTGCGTGCGTGGGAGCAGCTGAAACAAAGAAGAGTCTGGTCTGCTCTGAATTCAGGCCCGACCCCCTTTTTGGTGATTGACCAAACAAATAGGCTAGTCCGCCCACCTTAATGAATCGAATGGTCCTTCGACCTTCGTCTGATTCCGCGGCCGACATAGATTCAATCTCATGAGACCACCCACTATTACTACGAAAAAAGCCCTGCTTCGCTAGAAGGAGAGTAAGCTACTTCTATTAGCGCGGGACCTTCGAGTCGAATTGATCGTGTCATGTGCAACGTCCATCAATGATGGTTCATTAATGTCCATTGATTTAGAATTCTTCCCCTTTCTCCTATACGGAAAAGATCGAGAGGGGCCTGAACCAAACCTAGAACGGAAATTGATTCGACTCACTCTCGTATGGCTCAACCTCGAGCCTTGGGCGGGGCGACCGTGTCTTTCCCTGTTGTTCTGTTTCCGCCACGATAAAGACGCACGGAAGAGGTATGGTATGCCCAGCGCATGGAGGATCTGTTGAGAGTGTCCGTTGTCACGGTAGGGAACAATACCCTCTTTTCCCCCTATTGTCTTGAAAAGAAAGTCAGTGCTATGGTCCCCTATTGTTTGATCCAATATTGACCGGGGACGAGCCCCGACTTCCATAGGTCCTTGGTTCGACCTTCCGCGCTCGTTATCGTTACTGTTCTCTCTGCTTGGGCTCCCTCCCATTGCTCTAGCCATAAGCTATGTCCAACTCGCACCCACTCTGGCCCGTCCTGCGAGCCTAGAGTGAGCTCAGTGGTCAGCCCCTGACGTTAGGGGGTCTTTTGCTTTTGCAGGATCTATAGAGATATTACGAGTCCTCCATCCCAGATTCCCTCTAGCGGCCATCTGGTTCATCGATACTACCAAAAAGTCTCATGCTTACCTAACTGTGACTTATCTAGAAGTCTGATCTCAGACCACGAAGACCCTGGTCGTGCTTCTGGTTTCATTCCCATCATTATCTTAAATTCAAAAATTTCACTGGCCTCACTAAGTCTCTAAGCACCGTATGCGATATATCACTCCCGCTCTCTCGGTTTCGCCCAAAACCGTAGCCTTTGTCAACGAACCCTTGCGATATAGTCCTTATTAGAGATAGCAGGGAAGGCCAGTAGGGGATCGCGGCGTACAGAGACTACCGATACTCCCATCTTTTTCATCCTTCCGCTTCGATCCTATCATAAACCATCGAGGAAGGTAAGCCTGATCGCTCCATCATTCAGTTAGAAACTTAGAATCGTAATGTATATACAGAAGATATATTGTTCAGTGCCATTTCTGCTTATTTAAACAACTCATTCATTTATACATATATTATACAGAAGAGATACTGTTTATCAGAATCTGAGATTGGTGATAATGTTGCGGTTGACTCGCGCTAAATCAAACTCCCTGCAATAAATTACAGTCATGTGATTGTGATTTATGAATATAAGTCGAAAACATGCGAAATTTTTTTTGCATTTATAGTAGATTTGTGTGATTTGAACGAGGAATCAAATCGGCTACAGGGTAGGTGCTTGCAAGTGAAAATGGAAGATAGTGAATCTGATGTTGCTGCTGTTGCTCGCTGATCGCAACAACCATCGGCTTTCCAAAAGACGATCCTGTTGCTGATCTGTTGCTGCCCACTGATGCAGGTAAGATCTCAGCGGGATTTTGTATGAATATATAAAAGTATAATATTCAATGCCATTTCTGCTTATTTAAGCGGCTCATTCACATGTTGAGCTAAGATATCAAGTTGATTCATTCCTCCTCACTCCATCTTCAATGCCTCCCTTAATTTCCATCAGCAAATTCTATGAGTCTATCCATATTTGAAGAAACTTAGCTTCCAATGGCTTCGAGCTTCCAAAGTGTTCTACAAGATGAAGAACGAAGGAGGAAAGTCTATACAGCTCCATGATAGGTTTGAGAAGAATATATATATCCTGCCAAATTGTTTAACTTTCAGTAGTAGTTATGGAATGTAGATATTTATCATAGAAATATATTATCAGTTAATCCAACAAATTTGTTAAATCCTAAATTAAATGCCAAACATAAACTGCGGATTTAATTGGATTTAACGGAAACAATACCAAACATAAAATTTGGATTTAACATAACTAGATTTAATAAATCCGGATCTACTTGATTTAGTAAATCCTACTTAAGTTAAATCCAAGAAGCGGCTAAACAGACTCGGTTTTTGGTAGGGGAGGAGCGGAAGGATGAGAACTATCCTATAAATATTACTCAACGGTTTATCCGTATTCACAGGATTTACTATTATTATAATGAAAAAGCGTAATGGTAATAGGAGGATCTGTGTTAACTTCATAAAATTTTGACATCATCTACTTCTACAAACTTCTAGGGCTTTCATTTTCCTTCAGTAGTTTTAAGAATGATAATATTTGGTTTCTGCTGATATATTTTTTTTGAAAATTTTCTTATAAATCCTAAAAATTATATTTGACTGCTAGGTTCTATTGTTTTATGATTTTTATAAGTAGGAAAAACTTGTATCTTGGCTGATTGGTTTCTTTCTATATTTGCCTTTATTGAGCTTTGGTTCTTTGTATATATTAATATATTGAATTTAGTTTAACTCAGATTATAAGTCATTTTCCTTGTGTTGCAAATGCTTTTTTGTTGCTATTTTATTAGACAAAAGTCAAGATGTTTACAAATTATTATTATTTATGAGAACAATTTGTCTTGTGCCATAAATAATAATAATAATAATAATAATAATAATAATAAACTTTTTTCATGAATAAGTGTAGGATAACTTCTAATTTTTTTCGTGTTCATTAGCTTGTATTCTTGCATGTAACAATTTTTAGAATTCAAAGTTTATATTATTGGCTATTTATTCTTATTCAGAGTAGTCAAAGCATACTTGGATTAATACTTTTTTTTCTGTTAGAGTTTTGTATTTATTTCAGACTGTTCAAGGTTTTATTTGACTGATTGATTTTTCTTGTAGAGAGTTCATCAACTAGTCTACAGTGGAGAGCATTTGCTGGGTCAGAGGAATCCATTTTTGACAAATGGCTTCTTCATCGACCTTCACGATTGCTCGGGTGTCAAATTCTTCTACTTCCACAGCTTCAACACAACCACCAATTCATTCAGTTACAGTTGTAGAATCTTCACCTCCCACAGCTTCACCATCCCCACCTTCACTCACCCCTCCCCTTCCATCTCTTAATTCTTCTCCGCCACTGTCATCAGCTAGCAGGTCCCCTCATCAGCCTCTACCATCACCTCAAGATGAACATTTATCTCTATCACCACCATGGCAGACAGTCACTACAGCACCTTCATCTCTTACCCCCAATTTTATGAGGAGCTCACCTAAGGCCAAGCATAATGGTCATGTAAATGTGCAATTCATTGCTGGCGTTGCAGTTGGTGTAGGGTTGTTTTTTGTTTTGATGACCATTTTGTGCATCTGTTTCTGCAAGCAAAAGAAGAAACCACACAACTCAATGAAGTACTATGCTGATCCATCTGGACTTAAAGGTTTGTTGATTTATTTACATTACCAAGCTGATTTATTTTGGAATGTTGTGGACTTTTGGTAATGCTAATATATTATTTTAAATATTATGAAAAGTTGTTGATTGAATTATCTCTGACTTCTTATATCAATTTCTTATAACTCAGGGTGCGAGGTTCCAACATGTAGGTTCAGCGTATTTGTTGCAATTTTCTTTTTAACTTGTTGAAGGAAAATTTTAGCATAGATTATCCGTATACCTATTATAAGCTTTTGAAGTAACGTTGCTGATGTGATTTTCTTCATATCCACCTAGATTTAATATTTCTAATTGATTTTTTTTTTCATTTTCTTATCCGTAATTGGTTGTGTCCATCTTATATTTGTATTGGCCTTGGGCTCACCTAATAAAATATGAGATCGAATTAGATTCTTTAAAAAAATGTAACGGACTAATTCTAGCTAACAATGATGTCATTCTTTACTATGGAAATATAAAGTGAGATTGTTCCCCAGTTCCATTAGGTCATTGAATGGGGCTTTCGACTTGTTTTTTTTCCTTGAAGAAGTCTAAAATGTGCATATTAATTCTAGTTTTACTTGAATATAAATTTTAACCATCATGTTTCTATTGCGGTGTTTTTTTTTTCTTGGTAAAAAAGGGTAGATCTATAGATCTTAATTACAATTTAGAAACAGGAAAAAAATACTAAGTTGTAAATTGGCTATACATCTTCATGAAAGAAAAACATAGTGAATCACAATTTGAATTTCACTTGTAAAAACTTGTAATTGAACACTCTCTGAGCTGCTGCTTTGAATTCTCACCTGCTTTTGCTTTCAGACAGTATGTATTACTCCAGTGGACTACCCCCAAAATGGCACAATGGAAAACAAGGGATGGCTCATGGTGTGAAGGTTCAACCACCACCCGGTATGCATAGTCAGTCTGTTGGTGGATGGCACCTACAATCAACCGCCACAATGCTTAGCAGCGGTGAGATTAGCTCCGTCTTCTCTGGCCAACAAGCCCCTCTGCCACCTCCATCTCCTGCTTTAGCCTTGGGTTACAACAAAAGCACCTTCACCTATGAGGAGCTTGCAGCTGCCACCAATGGTTTCTCTCAGGCCAACCTCTTGGGGCAGGGCGGCTTTGGCTATGTGCATAAGGGAGTGTTGCCAAATGGAAAGGATATTGCTGTTAAGTCTCTCAAGTCTGGAAGTGGGCAGGGTGAACGAGAGTTTCAAGCTGAGGTTGATACTATTAGTCGTGTTCACCACCGTCATTTGGTTTCCCTTGTTGGATACTGTATAGCTAGATCACAGAGAATGCTTGTCTATGACTTTGTTCCAAATAAGACTCTTGAATACCACCTCCATGGTAGGTTGCTTCTGTTGTTTACTTTTTGAATTACTTATCTTTACCCTCTGAAAGTTTTCATGTGGTTTCTATTTCAGGGAAGGGACTTCCTGTAATGGAGTGGTCCACCAGACTCAAGATTGCAATTGGATCAGCTAAGGGCATTGCTTACTTGCATGAAGACTGTAAGTTTTTCTATTGAACTTGGTATTGAACTTGTTTGATCTTATAGTTTCTATAATCTAATTCGTGGCTTTAATGTCATCCACATGAAGGTCATCCAAGAATTATCCATCGTGATATCAAATCTTCTAACATCCTACTAGATTTCAAGTTTGAAGCACTGGTAGGTTGACCTTGTTACAAGCTAACATGATAACCTTGTTTATTTTATTGTTGTTTTCTTTTAAAGGTGAAGTGAAATTTCATCCAAAATAGTTTTGTTACAACTTAAGAAATGTGCCGCCATTAAGTAACTTAACTAGATAGAAGCCAAATTACAACAGTGGTGCTCTAACTTCATACAATCAATCATTGTAAGAAGGTTTCCTTCACGGTTCGGTTCTGTATATTTAAATATTTCCACCATGCCACTCAACTTTGTTTGCATTGGCTACAGCTTGCTTCCCAGCTTGTTTTGATGTCACCATCGCCTGCTTGGATACCATAAGACTATTACTGGTGAAGTAGTTCTTCCACCACACCCCCACCATGGTACCTTCCTTCCCTCGAGTGCTATGGAGATTAGCTTTTCTACTTTTAAACTAGACTATGGTGCTACACATTGGAATTATGATCTTATTGGGTTTGTTTGAGAAAGAAACATTCTAATGACTCATGTTTAGGGTAAAGAAGATTTGGAAAATCTTTGGAAATTTTGATACCTTGGCTATGATGTTTTTTGAATATGGGTTTCTTCAGTTTTTCCTTTGGTGGATAACTATTTTACTCCTCTTCTCATCTTAGCTCTGCTCAAATTAAGCGCGCATTCCAATCTCTTCCTCCTTAGTTTCCTAGTTCTGACAAATGAACAAAAAATTCTCATATCATATCTATTTAGTCCATCTATGACACTAAAAAATTTTGCATCAATATGAATGTAGCGAGCTCACTTAATACTACTTGATCATGCCTGAGGCCTTCTAAACATGATAAACAAATAAAGGTTGAAGATCTGTCCTCAAGAGTATGAGCTGTGAGCCATGTGACACATTCGATGGGGCATATATCTCTTTATTAGCTAAGGGTGACTTTGAAATGGGCTCCCATTTGGCAAGCTTTCTCCATGGTCTACATTGTTCGCTTAAGACAAAACTACCAATGACTTTTGATGAACATCTTTTGGTTATGCTCCATTGACGTAGCCGATTGAGTCATGTGATCTTTATCACTTTTGTTTTCATTCTCTATTGATCCGCTTTGGGCTATGAGAAATAACCTTTATTTCTCCTATCCATTGTTGCAAGTCAGATTAGATGGGAACCAAATGAACAAACTACTGAAGTGCAAACATACTAGCCTTAATTGAACGTTCGCTCATAAATGAGAAAGGTAATTAACCATAAGAATTTTCCCTCATGGGATGCCTTGAATTAAAAATTAGTCCATGTAAGGCTGCAAATGAGTGAAATACTTGGGTAGTGTCTTATTTATTATTTAATTATCTTCCAAACAAGGTTTGGCATCAAACCCGCCTTTTAACACAGAAAAATGCACGAGGTTTTTCATGTATGCACGTTTGAGCTTCACCACATGTGAGTGAATCTGTTTTCATAGATTGCATGACAATATCATGCCTTTTGCAAGGACCGCCTTGAAAACATGTGACATGTCATTTTCATGATTATACTGCTTGAAAACTATATGTAATGTTCTACAAATGACATTAATTGTTATTTTTGTATTGCTTGCACAAGTTTTGATGTAAAGTAATGAGTTTCTCACTTAAATGCATACCATTTTAGGTTGCTGATTTTGGTTTGGCAAAGTTTTCGTCGGATGATCACACACATGTCTCAACCAGAGTCATGGGAACATTTGGGTAAAACAAATGTACATACTGAAGCAACCATAAAACCAAACAAACGTATGCAGTAGTTCAACAACTTTTCCTATAATTGCAGATATCTAGCACCAGAGTATGCATCCAGTGGCAAGCTAACTGAGAAATCTGATATTTTCTCTTATGGGGTGATGCTTCTCGAACTGATAACTGGGAGACGACCAGTTGATAGCTCACACACATTTATTGAAGATAGCTTAGTGGACTGGGTTAGTTTAGTTTCTTGCATCATTTTCTTTGAAATAATTGTGATCTAGGTCAGTTAGATATGTAAATACAGTTGAATTGGGTCGTATTTATGTAAATGCCCCTTCTTGGGAAGATTTATATGCCTACCACTCAATCCTATGTATTTACATATCTAAGAACTAACCTTTAGTTGTTACATACATGTCACCTGCCCTATGCATGAAAGGTTGTATTTTACTTTTTATAAGTTAAAAAGATGATATTTTTGATTTGATATGAAAGATTTGAATGACATAAATGCAAAAAGTAGAATTTAGATGTTATATATGTAAATACATAAGAATTGGGTGGTATGCATGTAAATGCTCATTTTTTGGAAGATATACATACATAATACATACATACCATTCAATTCTAATGTATTTACACCTATACTTCAATTGTTACTTGCACGCCACCTTTCATATGCTTGAAAGTTGTATTGAACTTTTTAAAAATTAAAATGATGATATTTTTGATATGATATCAAAGTTTTGAGTGGTATAATTGTAACAAGTAAAATTTTGGTTTTATATTTAAATTCATAAGAATGGGTGGTAATAAGGATGGGTGGTATTTATGTAAATGCCCTTTTTCTTTTGTTGTTTAACTCAAACTTAATTGTTACTTTCAGGCAAGACCAATTCTTTCTCGAGCATTGGCTGATGGGAACTATGATGATGTGTCTGATCCTCGTTTGAATGGTAATTATGACCCCATGGAGATGGCGCGTATGATTGCAAGCGCTGCTGCTTGTGTTCGTCATTCTGCTAGGCGGCGCCCAAAGATGAGTCAGGTATGCATCTTTGACACAGATGATTGAAGATTTCAGATTTATTATAAAGGAGAGAGAAGTGCCAAAATAATTCACAAACTCTTTTATTGCGGGCCAAAATAGGCACATTTATAGACTTTGTGGCTAAAATGTCCCCATGTAAATGGTGAGGGTACCATTTTGGCGCTTTTCTCTTGTAAAGAATAGCTAATAGAGTTCTATTATATTTCTCATTTTCTAATCTTTTTCTTCCAATTGTATTGCAAATGTTGTCAAATTCCATGATGTGGATTTCTAAGGTGATAGGATGAAATAATACTTGGGATTTTATACACAAAAAACACATGAGCTAGCATAATTTGCAAATTTTTATTTTTAATTTAAACAAAGGTTTGTTTGTTTTGACGCAAAATTAAAAAAAATACGCTTCATTCATTCCAAATGATACTAAAAAATTTAAAAATCAAAAGCTCAAAAAAAAAAAAAAGAAAAAGAAAAAGAAAGAAAACAAATATAGATTCATCAATGGCGAAGATTCATGATAAAAAATAAAACTGATGTATATCAAACTCGATAGGATTTTAATGACCTGCACAAATCAATAACTAATTAATTTAGAAGAAAGAGCAATGATAAATGTCAATTAGATTATCCAAGCCTTTGGCTTATAAAGGGAGAATCATTCTCCAGAAGTTATCATCAAGATTTTTACAGCATTCAAATAATTCACATCTAACAGTACATTAATAATTTAGAAAAAAATAAAATTTTATTCAAACATTAAATGAATTTTGCATTTCTTGGAGGTCATAAAATCATAAGGATACTAAATATTCTTTCTTTTCCATGAAGTTTTAATCAAATTTGCTTGTATCATTTTAATACACTTGGGGCTCATTTTGGCATCAATTTTAGTTCTTGTTTTTGTTTTTATTTTTCTCTTTTCTTTTGAAAATATATTTGATTCTAATAATTTTTATCTGTTTTTAATTTTTATTTTAAAAAATACTCAAAATACTTAAAATATATTGTTTGAATGTTTTTGAAAAAAAACTCTCAATCAAATAGACTTTAATTCAAATCAAAACATAACAAAACAAAGTAACAATAAGGGGCATTTACATGCATAGCACTTGATTCTTATGGATTTACCAACCTCACACCAAAACTTTCATTATTACACACATGACAGGCAATTCTTTGGTATGACATCAAAATTAGCTTTAATTATAACTTTTTAATAGTCAAATCCACATTTTAATACATAGGTAAAATGCTATGCATGTAAATATAGAAGTTTAGGTGTGAGATATGTAAATCCATAAGAATTACGTATGTAAATTTCCCTAAAAATAAACATTGAAAAACAAAAACAATATTATCTTAATTGGCCACTTAAATCAGCTATAATATTAAGTTTTCAACCTTTGTATCAACTAAATAGTAAATTTCCAATTTTTGAATTTCATGTCATGCTAACATGCTGTAAATTGTTAAATTATAACTCTATTGTCAATATTGATTGAATAAGAAAACTTATCCAAGAAAGCTGTCGTACAAGTAAATAGAGCACTCGTACAAAGTCATATGAGGCTCTCGACATTCGTATTATTGTAGTCAAAAGCCAAACATTGATAAGTAGCAAACTATAATAGCTATATCCCGAAAGAGAAAAAGTTAGGAAACAACATTAGTGTCAACTTGACATCTCCAAATTAGAAGTTGGATTTTGAGAATCAATTTTTGCCGTACTACAACACAAAATCAATGATAATAGTGACAATAATCTTCCAAAATAGTAGTTACAGTAGTGATTCAAAAGAAGGCAGAAAAAGCCAATTACGCTCTGACACGAAAATAAGATACAACTGAGTTTGGGAGTCTAAGAATCAAATTAAAACTACTTACAACTTGGGTTGCAACTGAGCCGAGCCGAGCTTGAGCCGATCTCTAGTTTGAGCTTTTTTGTTTATAGTCAAGCTTGATTTGTTGGTCAATTTGATTGTTTGATTTAGATTTTTAATGTTGGTTTCTTATGATGCAAGTGATATATTATCGATCAAATTAACGATTACTATTATCGAACTACATGATTTCTAACCAAACGATCTTATTGAGCAAATCAAAATCGGTGATATCAAGCTATATATTTTCTAACCAAATAAGTTTTATTGAACAACTTAATGAGTAGTATGATTGAGGTGTTTATTTTCTAATCAAACAATAATTGTCAAGATTATAAATGAGCTATTTTTTAAAAATACGAAAAAGAACGAGCCATTAAATGAATAAATAAATTAAGCATACAAATACACAAAATAAATGAACAAATAAACAAACAAGTCTTTATCTTATTTTTGTATTATGAATAAAAAATTAATTTAATTTAATATAAATGAGTTTTAAATTGACATTTAATTGAGCTTCAAATATATAGTAATATAAATGCTTTCTTCAATAAAAAAATATTAACATGAAGTGTTTTGATCATACCTTTTATATCAATAATTTATATATGAAAATATCTTGTCCATAGAATGATATTCTTACTTTTGAATAATTTTATCATATTTCTACATCTGTGTATTACTCATATCACTGATGTTATTCCCTATGCTTTATAGACGCTCATTATGTTTATGTAATTGATGTAATTCATCACAAGATCCTGAATCTCTCTACACTACAGCCTATCTGACCTCTGATACTATTCTTATAATAACTGAAACATAGAAAATAGTACTTTTCAAGTGGTTTGAAAAGATTGCTTAATCCTACTTTGTACAAATCACAGATTGTTCGGGCATTGGAGGGCGATGTATTACTTGAGGATTTGAATGAGGGGATGAGGCCGGGGCTGAGCATGCTTTACAGCTCGGGCTCAGACTATGATTCTGACTTGTATGCACCAAACATGAGGAGAACTAGAAGGGTAGCACTTGCCAGCCCTGAGTACAGTGGAGAGTATAGTGGCATGATCGCTGAGTATGGGCACAGCCCCCAACCCTCAGCTTCCAGCAGTGAGGGAGCATTCTCCGACGAGCTTAATCCCATCGGCAACAGGCACATATTACCAGGGCTTTGAGCTTTCAGTGTTAAATCAAGTTTTCTTGATATTTCTGCTTGTGCCATCTAATGCTGACATTAAAGGCTTCAGTTTTCTTTACTATTCATTTTTGTGTTTATATTAATGCTTTATGTTTGTTTTATATTTTCTCAGTGGAGAAGAAATTTATAGAGGAAAACATTGAAGGAGTTGGGGCCATGCTTCATGTCTTTTGAAGTATTTTTCTGAACCCTTTCCCCCTGTTTTTGTTGTTGAAGTATAGTTTTTGTTGTGTTTGTTGAGTCTTATAGATTGGGCAGTATCTCAATGTCTAAATACATATTTTTTCAAGGTTAGAGATAATTAAATTGTATCTCTTTTGAAATAATGGATAGCTTCTGAGGGCTATGCAAAGAAGTTGTGAAATGAACAATTTCATAGGTGCATGGATAAATTTTGAAGCTAGTAGATGAAATTCTAGCCTAAAATTGACGCATTTGAAGCCTGACTGTGATGACAATGAATTGAATTCTCTCAGATTTTGTTTCAATCAATATTGAAGATTGAGCTTAAGAGTATTAAGAAGTTTAAGACTTCATAAAAAAATTAATAGGACTTTGACAATGTCGAAAACACCGACACAAAATGGTTCTTACCGCATCACCAAGCATTTCAAAGAGTAGGTGTTGATCTCAATGTATATTTCACATGTCAATTGGATGTAAGATAAATGATGCAATATGAATGTGACAATTTGCATATCAAAGCTATGTTATTTAAAACATCATCAAAGTCACCCAAACGACATTCAATCATAAAATGAATCACACAAGTTCATCCGAAACGTTGCAACTGTCTAGGAAGTGTTCTTTCATGATCAAAAGAAGTAAGCATGATAAAAATGATGAGCACTTTCATGATCAAAAGAAGTAAGCATGACAAAAATGATGAACTGCATTCACAATGTGTGCAATTTGAGCATGAATTGCATCAAATTCTCCAAGTTTCTCAACCATATATGATTATAAAATGGGCCATACATACTTAAAATTGGCACTCATATTAAATGAGTCTCGCATCCGAGTCAATCATGCGTAATTCAAGGTCACTCAAAAATAGTCTAATAAAGAGGATAAAAAAATCAATCGAAATGAAGCTTACAGTTTATTTAACTATTTATTTTTCTTATGATATATATATATATATGTATGCATATATTCAAAAGGAATGGCCAGAGGTTGTTATACGAGCCTCCAGCCATCCCTACTGTTCCTAACAATTCGAGTAACACCTCCTTTAAGCCAACTGTCTCAAAGGGGATTCAAACCCCCGGCCTGAGGGGTCTTATACGGTGGATGCCAACAAAAAGGTCGGGATACGCTGCACTCATATATATATATATCTATCTATCTATTGCTTTCCACCATTGGCACTTCAGCCCACCACCACCATTTGTCGGCACCGCCGAAGCTTGCCAGGTTCATTATCAGAGATCATCGAAGTTTGCCACCTCTCGCTGACGACAACCTCCACTGACGTCGCTATGTCGCCTTCGTCGGTAGCTTCGCCGGACCACCTCTTCTCAACACCGTCGAAGATCGGCAGTGCGACCCGCTCCATTCTCTCAGTATCCATGAGGGAATAAAAAAAAGGCAGCACAATTAGGATTTTAGCTTGTAAGTTGACTTCGTGGGATGATGGTTCCAACATGTCCAATCAAAGTTGTAGATACACTTTTAATTTCAAGAAAAAAAAAAATTACATCCAGACTCCGGATGTTCGGACAACAACCGGGATGCAGCGGAGGAGGGGAGGAATTAGACCTCTGCCCTCATCGCTGCATCCGGGCCATTGTGTGGACATCCGGAGTTTGGATGTAAAATTTTCTCTAATTTCAAGGGGGGTTTACATACGCACCATACAATTGTTTATGTTTTAAATATTTAATACTTAAACCGTCATATAATATGTATATCACTCAAAATCTCTAAAATCAATTCAAAACATCAGAATTATTATATTTTTTAAACGAAACGATATTTTATATATAAATTTATGACATCAAAATGACAGCATCAACGCATGTGTCAGAACCTGACTGGAGAATGCTACACCTGCCGATCTCCATCTCCTTCCCTACGTTACGTTCGTCTTCAGTCTTGCTCCATCCATGTTTACCCCCGGAGGCATTCTGCGACAGGACACGGATTGCTGTTGAGTTTTCCATGTGTTCTATTTCTCCATACGATTATTGTTAATGTTATTGTACATATACCCTTATTTTGTCATGATTGATTCATTTTCATCTTCTCTTGTTCTTTTATCTAGAACTTATATGTTACAGTTTACCTATCTTCGAGATCTTCGGAGCTGGACACTTGATAGGTGTAGTTGTAATTTTTGTGCTAAAACTGCATTGTGATTAATAAACTAAGAGGCGTAGTTGTAATTTAACAAGTACTGTACACAAGCCTTGGATTTGGCTGAATATGGGAGATAATTCTGATCGCCGGAATTGGAAATCGGTTACTTTCGTATTTGCAAAATATAGCGAAAGTTTTGTGAGCGAGTGTTTCGTTTAGTAATATGCCGTGGTGGATGAAAGCCTGAAAGGTCATGGAAGTCAATAATAATCATTGCACGAACTTTGTGCTAGATAATATTCACGAGTAATAAGCGAAAAATAGAGGACTAGTCCACAGATGCAGAATGATAAAACTTTCATTAAATTTATAGCACCTTGATGCTGTAAATGTGAATATCTTCATTAAATTTATAGCACCTTGGTGCTGTAAATGTGAATATTGATGCTGTAAATGTGAATATCAAATTTTGTAGTGTAGAGATGTAAACTCATAAGATTGTGCAGTACGTATGTAAATTTATCTAACTTTTAATGCAGATTTATGGAGATATTTTTTAATTAAGGGTAAGAGATGAATCAAAGTTATTTCTCATCTTAGGCATGGTAGTAAACACTTGTGCTAATCAAGGTTGTTGAGGTGTGGAGCCTGTTCGGCAACACATGGAAGAACACCCAGTCACAGCTCAAGCTAATGGTAAGCACCGAGAACAAGCACTATGCACCTGCACCTGGACAACACACCCACGTTTGCAGGATGAGGGTGCGTCGTGCTCGCCCTCATAGGGGGTGTAGCTGCATCCGGGCCATTGTGCTCCTGGACAACACACCCACGTCGTGCTCGCCCTCATGGACCTAGGCGCTCTACTTCGAACGCCTAGGTGCCGGTTCTCAAGCACTAGAATACCCGCACCAAGGAGTGGTGTGAGCACACGAAGAACATTTCTTCTGTTTGGTTCCTTAAAATTTTGATTTTCGGGCGACAATCAATGAAATATGACATGTAGTTTTTGAAAAAGTTATAGGTAAAGGAGAGAAGTATCAGAGAGGAGGATTTCAACGTCGTGCGTGTCTCGTGTGATCGACATAAAGGATTTGAAGCAAATTTTGCAAGTTTCATTACTTTTTGAGAAAAGATCTAAGTGAGTTCTCTATACTTTTGTGAATTACATGGTCGACATTACACTCGAAAGTTTTCACATTAAATTTGGGTGTGCTTTTCTGGAATTGTTTTATATTGCTTCAGTTTGATTTTTTTTGTTCCAATTTTTTTGAATCATTATGTTTTTTCCATGTTGTGATTTTAATTCTAATTGAATAAAAGTACTATTAGAATTATAATGGGATTTCCATCATTCCCAATAAAGTGTTATCAGAGCAAATGCTTGATTCGAGTGGGAGTAATGACAGACGAAGCAATATACAAAGTAGAGAAGTTTAATTTGATGAATTTTGCATTTTGGAGGATACAGGTGGAGGATTTCCTATATCAGAAAAAACAGTATTTTCCATTGAATAATATTACCAGGAAGCATTAGTCTATGACTATGGAGGAATGGGAGATGTTAGGTTGAACAATCCTAGGTTTGATCTGTTTATCACTCGCTTCATCTAGTGTGTTAAATATAGTGAATGAGAAAACTAAGTTGGATCTCATGGCAGCACTGACAAAGATGTACAAAAAACCTTCTGCTTCAAATAAACTCTTTTTGAAAAGATCATTTAACATGAAGATGGTAGAAGACACTTTAGTGACATAACATCTGAACAATTTCAACCCTCTAGGGTGTGCTATACTTGATGCGGCCAACAATCAGTGTAAGAGACGTCATGTATTTCACTTGCCATGTGTTTTCGGTTCCGCACTTCGTGCGGGTCCAAAATTACAGTATGCCACTCGACATAAGTGAGTTTGGTATATATGCTTGTGCCACTCACTAATTACTTGAGTTTAGCTTAAAGGCTAAACTTCTGGGGTAGACCACATTGCTAGTCTAAGCCTTTCTTGAAATTTTCCTTGACTTGAGCGTTTTTTATCATCTTGCTGGAAAAGGCATGTCACATCAGCTACGACATTCAGCTTATCTAGTCGACCTGTGCCTAAGAGAGACACCTTCATACCCGTGATATATTCCAAGTAGAATTCTCTTGTTAGGGGCTTGATGAAAGTACCTTGTATAGGTTGGGCTACCTCAGTTTCCCAATCTTTATGATGTTGACTTGGCCTATTCTTATAGCGTCATAAGAGAAACACGTGGCACTAGCTAAAGCACCTTGCTTATCCAACTGGTTCATGTATAATCAAAAAACCTCCAAGGCCCAATTACATTATGATGCTTTCCCAACATGAATTACCTTGTTTACTTAAAATTAATAAAAATAAATACAAATTATAAAATATAAAATAATTTAAATAATCACCAAAATGGGTCAAGTTGTAGATAATGACATTAGGAGGCCCTTGTGAAAATTTGAAGGTCATAAAAACTAATTTTGGTTTAAAATAATTATCATAAATAAAAAAATCAGAAAATTACAAAAATTGATTTGGAGTGTTCCTTGTAACCAGAGGAACTTAAGAAAAATAAAATTAAGTTAAAATAAAAACTTTATTTTTAGGCTATTTTTCCTAATTTTAATAATTAAAAATATAAAAAATTCCAAAAAAATATACAAATACTTCAAATTACCTTAAATATTATTCTAACCATAGAGAATAACCTAAATATGCGTTTATAAATTTCTAAGGATGTAAAAAAGTATTTTTAAAAATTAAATGTATTTTCTTAATATGTGAATAAAATAATTATAATAAATGGAATAAAAATCATAAAAATATGGAATTAATTTAACTGTGTTGTTCCCTAAAGTTAGAGAGACTTATAAAAATATAAAAATGTATTTTTGAAATAAAATATATTTTCTATTTATTTATTCATTAAAATCAATTAAAAATTTGTAAAAAGTAAAATATAATCCAAAAATTCACAAAAATTATGCTTAGTG